TTTGCCGTATTTTTTGCATCCTTAATAGCATCCTCATCATTGTAAAACAATTTTTTTTGTATTGAAAGCGGAACTGTAATCAATACCATCTGCTCCAAAATCTTCCAATGACACCTGCGCTATGTTAGAATATTTATAATTTCAAAACATGTTAAATTATAATCTATAACATAATAATTTATAACTCCTAACACGATAATTATCTAACGTCCAACTTATAACATAATAATTTCTAACTCCTAACACGATAATACCTAACGTCCAATTTATAACATAATTATTTTGATTGTACAACATAATAATTTTTAATTCCTAACGCGATATTATCTAATGTCCAATTTATAACATAATTTTTTCGAATCTATAACATAATAATTTATAATTCCTAACACGATAATATCTAACGTCAAATTTATAGATGATCAAGTTTAATTAATTTCTAACTCCTAACACGATAATATCTAGCGTCCAATTTCTAACATAATTATTTCGAGTCTATAACATAATAATTTCTAATTCCTAACACGATAATATCTATTGTCCAATTTATAGATAATCAAGTCTAATTAATTTCCAACTCCTAACACGATAATATATAACATACAATTTATAACATAAATATTTCGATTATAACATAATAATTTACAATAACATAATATAAACTAAAAATAAAAAAAAAAATATTCGTGTCCGGCCGGTCGGACCGGACCGACCGAGTAAAGTACGGTCGTCGGGGCCGGACACCTCACGGGTCGTACGGCCGACCGGTTAGTAAGCGGACCGGTCCGTACGACCCAGTAAACTGGACAACGAGGGTCTTGTGCGGCCGGACCGGCCGGACGCCATTACGGCCGTCCGGCTCCGACGGTTGGACACGACCGGTTGCGTCCGGTTTCGACGGTTGGACGGAGGAAAAAAATTAACTCGGAGAGGGCCGGTAAATAGTATACCCTTTATAAATTATTAATAAAAAAAAACCAATCAAAATTGAGCTATAAAGCAAGCAAATATTATTCGTAATCCACTCCGCGTAGCTCGAAGAGCTTCGATCAAAATCCCCTCCTTTTCGCTGATACCTTCAGAAATTCAGCTGCAAAATTATACGAACAACTCCATCGCATAGTGGTTGGATAGGGATTTTCATTGCCAATCTGAATTTTTTGCCATGAGTTTTCTTTTCGGAAAGAGGAAGACCCCCGCAGGTCTTTAACGATTGTTCATTTGTTACGTTTTCTTAGATTAAGTTTGTCGTTGATGCAATTTCTAGTTGATTAATGATGATATGTTTTGGACTATTACTGTGTTCTGTCTGTATGATCGAGACTTCTTGCAATGATCCTGAGTAGATGGGAGAGAGATTAGTTCTATAATTAATTAAATTTACTATCTCTTGATGATTTTGGTGATAAATAAAGATAATGTATTTATTGAAAGGATATTGAGCACATGTAAACCAGGATAAAATTCAGGGGAAGCTAATCTTTTATTAGCTATTGCGGGTCGACGGATGCCTAATCGAAATATTGAAACTATTGATGAAACATATTAAGAGAAAATTCTTGAGCTGATTGCGTGGGTGCTTAACTTAGCCATTGTAGCATGTCCCTTGTTCTATGTAATGACTACCAAAATTTTGATTTGCTTGTTGTGTAAGCCTTTAGACAGATTCTTTTTAGATGTGAATTAAATGTAGTTATGGTGGTTCACTTTTTATGCCTCAAAATCTTCATGAAAAAATCTTCCTGGTTTGATGACTTCAATTTGGTCCTTATATTAGCAGTGATATCAATAGGCCCGTGTAGTTATTTTGTGCCTGCTAGTTTGGTTTCTTGGACTTGAGCATCTAGTTTTATGCATATTTTTTTCTGTGTTTTGCAGAGCTTCTGCGTGAAAATAAGAGAATGCTTGATAAATCCATCCGTGAAATAGAGAGGGAGAGGCAGGGTTTACAGACACAAGAAAAGAAACTTATTGCAGAGATAAAGAAAAGTGCGAAGCAAGGACAGATGGTATGTCAATTCCAATACTGTAATAGCATCTCTTAGGTGACAATTTTTCTCAAATTTCATTTTCTTTATTATCTGGGTTCCTTCTGATTCTGGTGGCATGCATCTGTCTGAGTACTAGGATGTTTCAAGATTTTAACACTACCGTCAAACTATGTTTTGAATCGTAGAATGACTATGAGCCAACATTTTAAAGTGTCTTACGAGAGTAGCGAAGATGAAGGATGCTCACTTTATGGGATATGGTTATTGAGGTTTGCTGGTCCAGACTTGAAATATGTCCTTGAGGGAACATAAACGTGTCATAGAGCATGTAATTTTAACTTTAGTAGGTATGCAATTTCTGAACATATGGTACCACTTATGGACGTTTCATTGATATTGAACTAAAAGATGGTGTACCAAGTTCAGAACAACTGAAACATAATCTGCAGTTCACTTAGTGGTTTGCACTGAAGTCATGTTGAATCTAGAAGTCATCTGCCGGCTTCGCATCCAACCCTTGTAAAATTCCATTTACTTAAATGTTTATTTAATGCAAGTGCATTTCTTTGCAGGGAGCTGTTAAGGTGATGGCAAAAGATCTTATCAGAACACGACATCAGATCGAAAAGTTTTACAAGCTGAAGTCCCAACTTCAAGGTGTATCACTCAGAATTCAGGTATGTTACCATGTTAGACTACTTGATGTTATCTCTAACATGTGTGCCGAAACTTTAGATGAGTTAAACAGGTGTTGGATGTCCAGAAATCAACATTGTTTCTGTAGTCCTTTTGATGTTATCTTGTATGTCCATTGCATATGGAGCTGGAAGAGTCATTGTTGGCAATTCTTCTGGCATAGTGCTAATAATGGACTAGATCAAAATGACTCAATTAAATTCTAGTGCTTCTTCTATTAGTGAAGTTTCTAGAAAAAATATATCAAACGACGCAACGCACCTTGGGTCGCTATGGAAACAACCTCCTTGTATAATTACAAGGGTAAGGTCTGCGTACAACTGACCAACTGACCCCCCAGACCTCAACCTGTTGGGAATATACTGGGTATGTTGATGTTGATGATGATGAAGTTAAGAAATACCAGAAAGTTCCATGAACATAGTGGGTCCTGGTCATGACCCTTGTTTCCCTTTCCACAAAAAGGGTGAATATAGATTCGAGGAATTCAAATGAAATACTTTTTTCTATTTTCTGTTCCATTTGCCTATTGTTATGACATTATAACATTGTTACTTGTTTTGGTATGAAATACATATGATGCAACTGTTACATCTTTTGTTCTCACATAATACTCTGCTCTTAATGCTGCCATTTGTTTTTAACAATTAAATACTTCTCTTTTCAGACATTAAAATCAACACAAGCAATGGGGGAGGCCATGAAAGGCGTCACCAAGGCAATGGGGCAGATGAATAAGCAGATGAACCTTCCATCACTCCAGAAGATAATGCAAGAATTCGAGAGACAGAATGAGAAGATGGAGCTGACGAGTGAGGTTATGGCAGATGCCATTGATGATGCTTTGGAAGGAGATGAGGAAGAAGAAGAAACTGAAGAATTGGTCAATCAGGTTCTTGATGAGATAGGGATTGACATCAACTCTGAGGTACAATTTTATTTTTAACACTTGCACACACACACACAAATTTCATTTGTGTTTTCTTTATGTGCATAGATATTTCAGTCTGTTAAAGAGTTATGATGAGTTTTGGTTTCATCTTATTGCAGCTTGTGAATGCACCTTCCTCGGCTGTGGCTGCCCCAGCTGCAAAGAATAAGGTTCCACAAGCCGAGGTAACGGGAAATCATGATGATGGAATAGACAGCGACCTACAAGCCAGGTTAGACAACCTGAGGAGGATGTGACCCGCATTTGACTTGTAATATAATGCTTTTTTTTTTTTTGTTTTTTTATTTTTTTTTTCTGGTGATAAAATGGCGTATTATATGTGACTTGTAACATTTGTGACAACTGCAGCCTGTTTGGTTTGGTGCAGCTTAAATTTCATCACTAAGATTGCTCTTTGTGCCGCCGAATGCATGCATCTGTTTGTCTATAGTGTTGCCCTTTGAAAATTTATCTGGTAATTTTGTGGCAAATCTTGCGAAAGCCGCATTGCTGAAATTGATTCAAAGTATATCGCTAATGTGACAGAGATATATGGGGTTCACCATTTTTCTAAAGCTTAGCATGCTTTAATAATTATGTTTGTGTTGTTTAATCTCTTAACTCGTGTTATAATCAGATTTAATCCAGATTTAATCTAGCCATTCGAATCGGTGATTAATTATATTTTTGGGTTGTTTAATCTCGTAACTCGTGTTAGGACCAGATTTAATCTAGCCATACGAATTGGTGATGAGTAGTTTGACGTATTTGTTTATCGTAGTTTTGCTATGAAGTCAACAGTTGACATTATAGTGAAACCAACTTTCTATACACGACAAGTAAAAATAACATATTTTCTGATTACATAATGCTCTTTGTTTTGTGTGACATACTCCATTCGGACTATACACGACAAGTAAAAAATATCATATTTTTCTGATTATACTTTTTGTTTCTGGTGCACATACTCTATTCGGACTATGAATTTTGTTGAATGTAAAATAATATAGTCTTAGTATTCGAATACTTAAAAAAATCTATCTCAATTGAGTTTTTATATCATGGACTATCAATCAAATCGATCTGTTTTTCAGTTTAGTAAAGGTTTTTTGAGTTGATCACAATACAAAGAGAGAAGGAGAGGCTAAACTTTTTTGTTGCCAGAGATAGAATCTGAGTATTAGCAAACATTCATTCTTTTTCACAAACCTATCTTTGCACGTTGACCCCCAAAACTTATGAAATTGCAGAACATTACCTTCACTGACTATTATTTCAGAAATTTCTGTATCTACAACAAATAAACTCATGTTTATGATTATGTGGCTCCATTCCAAAAAGAAAAAGAAAAAGAGAGAAAAAGGGGAGAGTTTTGGTTTGGTTTACACGGTGGGGCGAGGCAGCAGGCCTTGTCGAGGATGCTCGGGCTCGACTTGAGAACGGCAAAGGGGACAGTCCATGTGAGTATAGAGCCACATATCGATGCAGGGAGCGTGGAAGGAGTGGTTGCACTTTGGGAGACGCCTCAACTCCTCGCCTTCCTCGAAAGCCGACAGGCACACGACGCACTCGGGGCCATCCCCCGCGCCTTCCCTCTTGTACTTGAAGCTCGATACGGAGCTGAGCACGTACGAGTGCGATGGGCGCCGGGGTCTGTGCCGGGGGTTGGCCACCTGTGCGCACCACCGCACGATGATGAGGTTGTAAAGTGCGAGGACAACGGCAGCCGTGCCCACCACCACGAGGCCGTAGTAGAGCATCGGCATAGTGGAGCGAGGCTGGGAAGGGGGGCCCATTGTGGGGGGTTGGGGCTGCTGCTCTCCCAT